TGCAGAAAGAATATTTGAAAGCCATACGTGGACCCAAACAGAAGAAGAATCAACAAGGCATTTCGCTGGGTTTTCCTTCATTCTTATCTTCGTACTTACAGAGGAAGAACAGTCCGATGCTATGAAGAAGTACTCTGCGTTGAAGTTCAAATTCAAGAACCAAGTCAAGGATTTTGTTGAATTCAAGGATCCCAAAAGAGAAGAGAGAATTGTTTGTTTCACTCCCTGATTCAATAGATAACAATAATCCTGCAGGGAGGACCGCATGTAGAGAAGTTTTTGGCTAAACTACAGGAGACATCCCAAGCAGAGCTGCTCAAGGTGAAACCAGTCCCACCTAAAAAGAAGAAAATTGAACCAGTGGTAGTGGAAGCCGACACTGAAGAAAAGCAGTTTGGAGTTGATCTCGAAGTTGAAGATTTACCTGGTTCTGATTGGTAAAGTCAATTATTTTTATGAAAATAACAAATCATTACAGGAGAACGAAGAAAGATAGTTTCTTCGTTGCCGAAGATGATGACCCCAAAGTGACGAAAGCCAAGGATGCCAATATGAAAGATAAAAATGAAGACTGGTACAACATAGATGATCCAAGGAACGCTATTAACAAACGTAGACGCGGTGAAGTTGAAGAATGACTCCAAACATGACTTGTTTCTGATTGATAATGAATCTCCATCATTTCCATGGGTATCTGTGCTTGTGTAGTTACCTAACCTCTCCAGCTTATTATTTCTGGAAATTAAGTAACATTTTGGTAATTACGAGTCGTTTATTTGCGACGCTTTTGTTGTTCGGACTCATAATATGTACGGTGCGCATTCGAAGTGGGCTGTGCACTTTTGCACGAAAAGTGCACGGGACTTAAATTATGTACGGTGCACGTATTAGGTGGTTTTTGGTGGTCCAGTTGTTTTTTGCAGTCCGGGGGATTGTCGTGTGAGAGTAACGAGGGGAGCATGCTAGTTCAACGAGCTTTCGGAGGTTGGCTTAACCTCCAGAGTAGTATTTGGTTG